GTATGAGTTTCATTTTTTTCATTGTATGAGTTTTGTTTTTTGCGGCATTTTAAAATATATTCGACGAAATTTGCTGCAAAATATGCGAAAAGCTAAAAAATGAGTAAATTTAATATTTTCCCGCCGGGTTACTGTCGCACTCGTTTCAACTGATTCCGGTTGTTTACGCTTTCAGATATTTGTTTACAAACATCGCATACACTTCGACTCAACCTTTTTTTTTCTCTGACAAGGATAATAGAACGTTCAAAGACGGTATTATTGAGAAGAAAAAAATGATTCAGATATTTCCAAATTCAGAAATTTTGGAAAACTGAATTTGAAAAACACATAGATTCGAAAAATATCACTATTCTGAAAAAAATAAAGCAGAAACTTATAAAACGAGAATTTCTAAAATTCAGGAATTCAAAATTCCAGAAATGCAGAAGCTCAAGAATCTAGAAATTTTTTTTAAATTAGAAGTTCAGAAGTTCCGTATTTTTTGAAATTCTAAAATAAGTCATATTCAAAAAAAAAATCAAAAATTAGAAATTCAGGAATTGAGTACTTTTGAATTTAACAAACTTAGAACTCAAGAAACTTGAAAGTTGGAACGGAATAGTTCCACATCTGCAATCTAAATTCCTAATCTTTAAAACTCAGAACTTCGAAAAATTGTCAATTTCAGTAACTGCACAATTCAGTTATTTGAAATTGAGCTATTTGTGATACCAGTATTACCGTAAAACCTGTATTATGATGGTCCACTACTTTAAACTTTGTTCTGATTTTTCTAGGTTCATGCTAAACGGATTAAAATTTGTTAACTAAAAAATTATTGATGATGATATCACAAACATTTCATCAGTTGGCACATTTTCGATATATCTTATAGGTCCGAGATAATTGAACTCAAACTTGGCTGTGCGGGAATCCTTCTATTACACGTTATACGGTATTGTGTCAAGAAAATTCATTTTATAAAGTTTGCTGGTTCTGTGAAATGTTATTTTATTTTTGTTCCAAACTAGGAACATTGTTAATTTTGAGCTCATGTAGAAGAAAAACTTTTTTTTAAATCCAGGAAATACGGTTTTATTAAGAAAAGAAATAACAAAGATAAAAAACTGTCAATTTGTAACCGTCGCAACATTTCCAGTTGATCCTGACACTGTGCGATGTTGTGAAACCGTGATCAGATTCGAACCCGGTTTTGTTCCAATCTTCAAATACCGACAGACCATTATTCTAGTTTTCTTAGACTCCACAAAATAAATGAGAAAGTTCATGAACGCTACTGCTTCCATTCTCACATAAAAGTACAATAGTTTCCCAGCTGGAGATAGGCCAACGTACAGAGCCTGAAAAAATTGAGCTGATGATTGACAATCGGGTTCGTTGTACCGGAAAAATTTTGATAATGACTGCTCCAAATTCGTAGAAAGATAGATAAGCTGCCATGGTTATCGTTTGCCGTATCATCATCATATCTTTCTTAGCTCTTTGTTTTGAAATGAAAGTTGACTGTGATGTGCTTCGAGTTGGTTCCACTGTAATTATAACTTTTTTTAGTTCCTTGTTGATTAAGCCATACCTTTTCTGAACTTGCGCAAAAAAGTTGCATAGGAGTTGTTCCGAACAAATCGAAGATGAAAAATGATACTCAAGTTCACACACATACATGAGACCGGGAGAACTATTGCATATGTATTTTGAAAAGTAGTGATCTGAAAATATAATTTCAGATAGTGTCAAAAATGTTTCCAAAGCGAGATATTCTAGACATCAATGTTCTCACTAATTGAAAAGGGGAGAGAAAAAGTCTTGAAGTGGAACAAAGTCTTACCGGATGACGACCTGGAGCACATCCTGAAATAAATGCTAGTCGAGTCATATCAAAATTGATGTCACACGGACTGAAGTATGGGATGAGGAGAGAGATCAACATTAAAATTGCAATTAATCCACAAAATATAAAAACTGGTGTTGCTGAACCACATATTCATTGGTTTCATGACAACTGCCACTCGATTAACACTCATTAATACACTGATAACCAAAGCAACTAGGTATGAAAAATTACCCAATAGAGTAGCTTCACGCCCCATCAGTTCGGAAAACTCTGAAAATCCGAATATCATATACCAAATATCCCATAATATAAGCTCCCAAACTGCCAACTTTCAGCTAATTCATCTCGGATCCTTCAAAAAAAAAGCAAAAAGTTGTCAATTGGTAAATTACTTATCATGATGTCACCAGTATTTTATTTGTTAACAACTGTTTGATATCTTTCATAAGAATCGAGATAATTGAGCTAGAAGTTGACAAATTGGGTGGGCTTATAACCTACGTTCTTTTCTTTTCGATTTCATCCTGAACTAACCGAAATATCCTGGAAGTGTTGCTATCAGATATACACAGGGTTGAAGAAGAAGAATAAAATTGGCAAGGATGCCACGAAGGCCCATAACCACTAAGTATGCATATGGAATGGATGAATCACGTCGACTCTCAATTGTCGACAACAGTAGAATAGTGTCAAATGCCAAGAAAATACTTGGAAAGATAATAGAAGATATTTGTATCATTATTTGATTGATACTCAACACTCGATAGTTTGGAAGTACGATTGTATTATTAGTAGTAATATTCATTTTTTTTTAAATTCACGAAATCTTCTGTTTTCGTTCCTTTATCCTTTTTCTTAGTTTATCAGATATCCTCCTCTTTGAAAGAAACTCTACTCAAGAGAAAAAATGTATTGAACCGAGCAACTTTGTGGTCTGCTAGGAAGCTGGGTGATGTGTAATAAATTATAGTTGAACGGAGTTCAGCTGTGATGAAAAACGAGTGGGAGTAATCGAAAAACAAACGAATAAACGTGTGGTGAGAACTTTTATCCAGAGCTAGACTCGAAAATTGATAGGAAAATTGGGGTGAGAATATCAGGATAATTATCAATGATCTCATTGAATTTCATAAACCATTTTTTGAGAAGATATCAGAGTTCAGTAGTTTGGTCTACTGTGGGTTAGTTATTTCTTTTGACCAGTGTGCTTTATTGAAAAAAACTCTCAAAAATGCCTTTTTCAGGAAACTTCCAAAAAAATGTTGACAAAAATTTGTCAGAAAAAAAAGTTATTGAAAAAAAATACTCGAATATTTTTTCCGAGGAATTAGTTCTTCTTGATTTCTCGAAAAATACGGAATGCGGTATTTCGGAGTGTCGCTGTTGAATTTTTGTTCTTGTCATTTTGAGGAGGCCTAACTTTTGCAAGTTGAGTTTCCTAGGCCAGAAAATTCGATTTGCGAAAATTTGGCCGTCAGTACTAAATAAGTCAAGAAAACACAACTTGCAGAAGATCAGGTTGAAATGAATTAGTTTCAAAAAGTTCCTCAAAAATTTCTCAAAGCCGTGTCAAACGGATACACTGTTCTTGACCCTTTTTAAGAACTGACATCCGATTCAATTAATCCATGTTACTAAAGAAACAAAATTCATTTGAACACATTGCAATAAATATTGAAAAATAATCAAAGCCAGAGTTATCAATTAGTAACCATTGCAGTATTCCCTTGTGGTCCTGACACTGTGCGATGATGTGATACCGTGACCAAATTCGAATCCTGTTTTGCTCCTTTTTTCAAAAACCGACAAACCATTGCTCTTGTTTTCTTAGTCTCGATGAAATAAATGAGAAAATTCATCAATGGAATTGATTGCATTCTCACATAAAAGTACACTTGCTTTCCAGTCGGAGATAGTTCAGTGTACAAATCCTGAAAAAAAACTGAATTTTATTAGTAACTCTTCAAATCGATTCACCGGGAAAACCTTGATAATGAATGCTCCGAATTCATAGATAGACAGATAAATTGCCATGGTTACCGTTTGCCGGATCATCATAAGATCCCGTCGAGCTCTTTGTTTTGAAAAGAAAATTGGTTGTGATGTGTTTCGAATTGGTTCATCTAAAATTTTATCGAATTTCTTTTTTTTCAACATTTATTGAGACACACTTCTTTTGATTTTGTGCCAGAAAATTATATAGGAATTGTTGCGGACAAATCGAAGATGAAAAATGATGCCTAAGTTCACAAGCATACATGAGAATGGGAGAATAATTGTGTACGTATTTTGAAACGTAGTGATCTGGAAAACAAATATTTCAGATAGTTTCAAAAATATATCTAATTAGAGAAGAAAAATAGCATCAATGTTCAAAAATTGCTTACTTATCAAACAGAAGAAAACAGAAACTCACCGGATGACGAGCTGGAGCACATCCTGATACAAACGCCAATCGATTTACCATGAAAACCACATAACATGAACTGAGGTATGGGATGATGAGAGAGATAAGTATTATAATTGCAATTATTCCACAAAATATAAAAACTCTGGTGTTGCTGAACCACATATTCATTGGTTTCGCAACAACTGCTACTCGATTAACACTCATCAATACATTGACAACAAGAGCAATGAGATATGAAAAAGTACCCAATAACGTGAATTCACGTCCCAGCAATTTCGAGAACTCTGAATGATCCAACTATTTCTCTATCAATTCCCTATTTAAACAAACCCTCGTATCCTTCTACTGTAGTTATCAGATTCACAAAGTATTGAAGAACAAGAACAAAATTTGAGATCATCCCGCGAAGACACATAACCACTATGTAAGCTAACGGAATCGATGAATCGCGTCGGCTACTAACAGAAGACATTAGAAGAATTGTATCAAATGCGAAGAATGCACCGGGAAAAATAATAGCAAAGAAATGCACCAATAGTTGATTGAAACTCAACACTTGATAGGTTGGAAGTGAAATTGTAACAGTATCTAGGGGTAGAGTAGAAGTCTCCATTGTAGAACCCAGAATATCCGAAAAAATCTTCTTTAGGTATTCAAGCTCAAAACTCGAAATCTCACATCAAGTATTGATCTAATGAAAAAATGACAAATATCACGAAATCTTCTGTCTTCCTTCCTCCTCCCCTTTTTCGTACCCCATTAGATATCTTTTTCTAATAAACAAAACTTTAGTCGAAAGAGAAAACAACTCATCGAGCTGGAAAAAATTCTTGGTACGGGCGAAGATTTTGTGTTTACCAGGAAATGTAGTTAGGTTTGATGGTGTGTAATATATCATAGATTTATAAAGTTTTGGATTTTTCTCCAGTTATAAAAAGAAGAGGAGCGTTCGAGAAATTCAAGACCAATAACAAAAGGGAAAACAAAAAGAATCTGTTAGATGATCTCGAAGAATTATAAAAATTGAATTTTTTTGAAGCTCAGCGCTTGATATAATAAAAGATCACCTCTAATTATAGAACCCCTAAAATAACAGGATCCTCTGAAAATGAGCAGGAACAATAAGAGCGTTGTTCCATCTAATACATGTTGTACGGTATACAGTTCTGTTCAATAAAATTTACAAAAATGTATTTTTCAGTTGATTTTGACAGCTTTCAGGAGTCTGGAGCTTGGCTGTCAAGTTCATTTTTAAAATTTTGGAGTGTGTGAAGTAAACCTCAATTGAACATTAAACATTCACATATTTTTTTGAAATTTCCTAGTTTTTCAACTTCCTGTCGATTTCTGACAAAAAAACCTTTTCATGGTCCGTTTTGTACTGGAAATGTGAAAAAACCAGGTTTTGCCCTTCTATTACAGGTTCATTGGTTTTTCAGTAAATATATAATTACATTGCATATATTTTCCAATCGGATTTTTTCGAGTACATATTTTTTGAAAGTTAAACTTCTGATTTTTACCAACTCATCTCTTTTTTTTTCTTCTTGAACTTATGTCTACGTACTAAATCATTCTGCGTACAAGTCATTGTTTCTACTCTAGTGATTTTTCATTTTGAACTTTCAATAAACAAGAGTAAAAGTACATTTGAACTTTATTTCCAAAAAGTTAATTTGAAAAAGTATGGTAAGTTGGAATCATTCAGTTACGTCCTCCAGTATAATAAGTGTTGTTGGCGATTTGATTGACGGAATGGCGAATTTCAGCAATATCCGTATTGCTGGCACGTTGTTCTTTCTCCAAATCGACAAGAGTTTCTTGAATGAGGTATCTGAAGACTTCCATGCCGAAGAAGTCGGCTTCTCTCTGAAAAAAGCTAATATTTTTATTGCTGAAGTAGTGTTAGATCTCTGGAAGTGGTAGTATTCCGTGACTTGTACTTTCTCGGCCTACGTTCTATACAAATGTGTCTTTCGTAACCATGAAACATCCATGTTTCACTCCTCCGGGTGTCTTGAAGCACACCGCACACAACTACTCAAAATGTAAACAACGGTTATCAATTGTTATCAGCTCTAACCGTTACGCATGGTTAAAGAATTGAAAATCAACCAACAAACAATGAAAACTGAAAAACCTGGGGTGGTGACACTTACCTTAAGCTGCGACAAGAGGTCTTTGTCTTTTGGCAGGACAGTGTTCTTTCCGTCTCTCATAAACTGCAGAACAAACGCAAACAGGCGGCCGTCCCGGTTGACAAATATGGCTCCTGACTCATCACGCTGAAAAAAAATATTTCAGAGGTTTCAACATCAGTGAAAGAGTATGAGTCGAATGGGAGATAAGAGAAGTGAGAAACACCAAAATCAGTATTTTATAATAATGCTCTAGATGTACTTCCTGACTTTTTATAGTTTTCAGACCATTAAAATGAAAATCTGCACTTACAATAGTTCTTTGCTGGAGCAAAACTATTTTTCCAGTTGTGCGATCAATCCGGATGAAATTCAGGAAGTAGGAGGATTTGGATTGTGCCAGTGTGTCGTAAAGAGTTGTGAATCTGAAACTTGTCGCGATTATATCACATTTCACAAGCATCTAGACAAACCTTGTACCTCCTGCATTAATATGTACCAAGTCTCGAGCATGGTGAGCTGAGATTTCCTCCTGAAATTTTATTTTTTGAAACTTTCTATTTATATTTAAATTCCAATATTTCAAAAGTAATTACCTTCTTATAATCCGCATACTCTGCGGTATGCATATCCGTGCCATTCGAATGAAGTGATGCTCTTGCCAACATTTTTAGTCAGAGTGGGTGCTTGCCGCGAAACAAAATTGTCGAGCGAGTAGAAAAACGAGGTAATAAAACACAACGTGTTATCAGTGACGTTAGGGCGGAAAATCTGAAAGTTTCAAAGTGTCAATACATGGAGCCCTCCCCATTTTTTCGGGATGGCAACACGTGCTGTTGCTGAAATGATACGGAAATAGGAGTGTTTTGGAAAATGGAACAGTACGAAAATAACTACCGTAAAACCTGTATTAGAAGTGCCTCTGAAATTGAAGGGCCCCTCTAATTGAAGTGCCCCCCTAGAGACCTCACGAAAAATAGAAGTGCCCCCTCTATTTGAAGGGCCCCTCTATTTGAAGTACCCCCTCTAATTGAAGTGCCCCTTTGACTATTACTTCCTTTGATTTTCAGCCGTTTTTTCTATTGTTTTGATTAAATTACTGTCTGATTTTAAAAAATACTGGCACCGGAAAATTTGAATGCCGTTGCTTTTAGATTTAGAAAATTCTGGAAATTCTAGCAATCAAAATTTTATCAAGAAATCTGAATTTTAATCAGAAAATCCAACTAAATTCAAAGAAGTTAATTTCGTTTGATATAATGGCGGATTCAAGGACGATGCTGTATCGGAGGAAGAATGTGAGATATCAAAAAATCTGAGAACACAAGGAAAAGAAGACAGAATTTTACGATGGAATTCAGAAAACAAGTTGTGGATTTTGCAAACAAAACTTTGCTTATAACAAATAAAATTGTTGATGTTAAAAAATTGTTAAGTAAAAACAACAAAATTTTAACCGAAAGACGATGTCCCTATAATAGAAGTGCCCTCTCTAATTGAAGTGCCCCCCAAGAGACCTCACGAAAAATAGAAGGGCCGGCACTTCTAATACAGGTTTTACGGTATATTGGAGGAATATTATATTTTAGGAAACTGTTGAGAATGGAACGCAATTCAAAAACATACATCTATTAGGGGTTGTCATTAATGAATAGTATCCAACAGCTATCATTTTTGTACAAAAAAACTTGGTCATAGGTCCCTCAACGACAACTACTGTAACCTTAAAGGAGGCCAGACATCAAAAATTTCAAAAATTTCATTTTTTTAAATATGTGAATCTGAAGTACAAGTATATATACCTACTTGAAAATCTGAAAAAAATCATTTAATCGGCAAAAAAAAATGCACTTTTTTTTACCACTGCCTTTTGCTGTCGCCGTGTTGAAACCACACACTTCTCAACGTGTGCGCGCGCGGTGTAAGTGGTTGTGCGCGGAACTGTCGTTCATGAAGTCAAGGGTTTGATTCCTTCTCGTGGCTTTCTTTTTTTTACAGCTTTTTTAACGTCATTTTACAGAATAGAAATGGGGAAAAAATTACGACACTTATTTTCTGTTCTTTTTTCGCATTTCGCCTGTATTTTGATAATGAGGTTTGTCACTTGTTGTGCGTGTGGAAACAAAGTTCTGACAGGGGAAGTACCCGAAGTGAAATTTCTCTTTTTCATAGATGTTAGTGGCAAAAAATGTCCCGTCGCTGGACTAGCACAAAACGGATAATATAAGATGCCCATAGGCAGATTGAGCAGAATGACAAAACTGTTTGTGATTTTTCAGAAAAAGTGGATCAAGTCCATTCAAAAAATCATAACTTTGTACAGATTGAAGATAAAACGATATACTAAACTGTATTTTAACGATATACTAAACTGTATTTTGTCCGAATGGTCCGATCGTATGATTTTCGAAAAAACACCTTTGAGAGACCATGTCTATCCGATTTCTGTTATGTCATAATGCACAACTGTAGTCTCAAACATATAGCTCACCGTTCATTTAAGAGAGATTTTTGAAAAAATAATATTTTTAAAGTCAATTCCATGTACCCCTCTACATGCTCACTTTCAACATGTGAAATTTTTTAAAATTTGTTTTGACTCCTTGATCACGATTTGATAATTTTCTGTCAAAAAACAACTAGATCAACTGAATCGTTTGTTCTCAGAGCTTTTATGATGTATATGGAAAAATGCGTTAAAAAAATACCATGTTTAGGGGTACATGGAATTGACTTTAAAAATCTTATTTTTTCAAAAATCTCTCTTAAATGAACGGTGAGCTATATATTTGAGACTACAGTTGTGCATTATGACATAAAAGGAATCGGATAGACATGATCTCTCAAAGGTGTTTTTTCGAAAATCGACATTTTTTGATTTCATACGATCGGACCATTCGGACATTTCCTATCATAGTAAAATTCTTTGCAGAGATAGAATAAAGGTGTTATTTGGTTTTTTGTAGCCTGTAATTCGTGCTACAAAATACAGTTCAATATATCGTTTTATCTTCAATCTGTACAAAGTTATGATTTTTTGAATGGACTTGATCCACTTTTTCTGAAAAATCACAAACAGTTTTGTCATTCTGCTCAACCTGCCTATGGGCACCTTATATTATCCGTTTTGTGCTAGTCCAGCGACGGGACATTATTTGCCACCAATATCTGAGAAAAAGCGAGAGGACACTTCGGGTACTTTCCTTGTGAGATTAGAATAATTTTAGAGTATTTTAACATTAAAAAAAGCGACGGAATTTCTATCGGGAAAAGCAAAATGATCGCAGTCCTTATGAAAACATATATAGGCGGCTATCGAAATGATGAATCAATTGAACATTATAAATGCGAAAAACTGTATATTTTGAACGAAATTTACACTAATTCGAAAAGAACAAGGTTTTAAGTATTAAGAATTGCGAAAAATTGACAAAAAAAAAACCGCAAAAAAAAGTCAAAAAATAAAATAAAAAGTAGTTTGCGCGGGCGATTGCCCGCTTTAGGTGCGAACACCGCGACGGCAAAATACACAGCCCCTGAAAATTCCCCCGAATTTTTTGCTGTCTGGCCCCCTTTAAAATATTTTAAATTTTTCTATTTATTCTCTTGTTATTGACTTTTTTCAGTCGATTTTTTCATTATTTTTTCTCAAAAAAGTTGGAAAACAAAAATTTTGAAAGTAAAACAATTGACTCAAATGTATGAAAATCGAGATAAAAAATCTGAAAAAAAAAATCATATTCATATTACAAAATCGAGATAATTGACCCGGAGAAGAATAAGTTCAGGTTACGGTAGTTCTTGTTGTAAAACCTTCGACCACGGCCACCAGCATTTCTCTCCAATTTATTCATTTTTGTTTGTACTACAAAATTAGTGTTTTCGGAAAGTCATTTCCGATCATTTCAAAACTACTGAGAGTTTTCAGTAAAGACGATTTAATTTGACATTTTATTTGATAGAAGCCTGGGAGTTAATTTGACGATTAATTGCAAACAAGGGGGATATAAGTGTCAATTGTTATTGTTTTTTTTTTTGCTTTTGTCGGTTTGGATGCGTCTTTCTATTATGCCGTAGTTCAAAGTTGA